TCATGTCGGCATAATCGTTATGTTTTAGATATATTGAGGACTGTGTTAGGGAGGCGGGTTGGAGACACCTCGAGCCCTTCAGTTTGTCCATCTAGTATATGTCACTATTTACCAGGCCGACATTGAAAGAGATATAGTCCGACTCCTGGAGTAATAGAATTCGTTCTCCTGTGCCCCTAGTGGTCGTCTTTACGGTAGGAAGGACTCAGATGATGAGGATAACCCTAAGCCCGCCGCCCGGCCAAGCCTATACCCTGAGCCCGAACCACGTGGAGTAGCTGTAAGTTGGGAGGAGTCTGTGGGATGGTCGGCATAGGCCTCTTTAGGTGTTTATAAGAAAGGCACTGTTAAGGCCGGGCCCTTAGTGATATTATAAGGGAGGAGGTGGAGGCTCTAACCAAGGAGAAGGATGAAGACTTTAAAAGGCCTATATGGGTAATCACTGGAGCCTGGGCGGAAGCACCTCGAAAGCTACATATGAGGCATGCTCATCCTATGATAATCTCATAAGCGACTCATGTGGAACATGTGGATTCATTTCATAGACCTCACTTTATTAATTTTCATCGTAGTGTCGCTGGTAATCATATAGTTGCCAGCGTAATGTGCATTTTACTATTACGACGACTTGTACCACACCATCTTCAATTTCATGAGGATAGACCAGTAGTGAATTCTTCTAACGCTTAGGAGCATCGAAGACCACCGAGCGGAAACCAAGGGGAAGTGATGTCCTTGAAAGGTCTGCTGCGGTCAGGCCAGCCGAGACCTGAAAGGTGAGTAATGACCACTACTTAGCATGGAAATACAACGACACAGACAACCGACCAACTACCAGGAGTTCTTCGACCGTATACGGCCAACTTATGAGGACGAACCTGACGATGCCCAGAGGCTGGTACTACTCTTAGTATAATCAGAATTCAGTGTTGCATCAGAGGCGATTACGGCAGTTGAGGAGAAAGAGGATGTCGATCACTCTGGACCGCTACATAGCTGGTCGTCCGCATCGTCGTTGAGTTTGTTCATGCCACTACTTACCAAATCATCTGATGTGCTCTAAGCCCTGTCTAGTTTTAACGCCTTCCTTATTGACCCTCATTAGTCTGTATCGTTATTCCCTTTCCCTCTATGTTGACATCTCAGCTGAAGGATGCTTACCGCGCCCTCAACTTGTACGTATTGCTACCCCCTCGTTGAGAATGGGTCTTATCTCAGGTCCTACGATGCTGAGTGGGAGAAGATCATGGACCGAGCCAGGAGTTTGAAGCACAGGTGGGCTCAGTTTTGCCCTTACTAGGCTCAGTGATCACCGTTTCTGTAGGTATAAGGCGGCTGGAGACAAGCGAAGTCTGGCTCGGGTCTATAAGGCGTTCTCAATCCTAGAGGCCGACAGGAAGAAAAGGGTAGTGGGGCCTTCGTGTAGTGTAGGGGAATGAGTGGTTCGCCTCAGCTGTATGGTGGCGATGAGCAGCTCATAGGCCGATCGAGGCGGGACCGGGAGCTTGATGGGATGTAAGCAATAGGCATCAGGATGGTGGTCATGGAGAGTGTGGGGCGAAGGTACAACCATATGACTAAGGAGATCGCTAAGCGTCGAAGGGAAGAGACCGCGGTTGGTGGATCTGCATCAGCTGAACGGGTAGGGACAGCTTCGCTCCGCCTTTTTTCATGACCGTTATTTAGGTCGACCTCATGCACACGGTAGTGGCCGATGACACTGTTCACACTGGGGATGTTAAGGAGAAGGAAGAGACCTCGTTGAGGTGAGGTGATGCTGGCCTTCCTGGGCCGCAGGGAATACCTTCAGCTCGTCCAGTAAGGAGATGGGTCCGCCCATGAAGAAAGCAAAGGACGGTGAAGAGGGATCGGCCAAGTCGGAAGGCTCCAGTGAGACCAAGAGTGCATCGCATCAGACTAGTATGCTCCAACGGTCTCTGTCTTGGTGAACGTTCGTCCGGTCAGAGATGTCCGACGTCGACTGGCCGGCCCAGTTCGCCAGAATGCGAGATGCGATGACCAAACACGAGCAGTGAGAAAGAGGAATGTGTAGGGCTTGGTGGGAGCTCGGTTGTCTTATGTATTTCCTCGTGTGTAAGTTGCTATTGGAAAAGTT